TCTATCTATCTATCTATCTATCTATCTATCTATCTATCTATCTATCTATCTATCTATCTATCTATCTACCATGGTCTGCTTTCTATTATCGATTTAATGGTTTAGTTTTGCATAAATAGGGAAATTTTGGCAGCTCAAAAACTTCATTCATTTAGCCCACAGGGACTTTACTAATGTGTGGGAGAACACAGTACAACAGCAGCAGCCTGAGATTACCTCCTTTTCCTGGGTGCCGGCCTCAGTCACACATTATCAGGGAATACTATACATTTTCTTAAACTGTAATTGTTACATTTAGTTTTTTAGTTTATTCTCTTATTCCTCTCCATTTCCAAATTTTAGAGAGCTAGCCTCTCCTGAATCTCTCTGTGTGTAGACAAGCTTTGAAATGTTGGTGAATCTTGAGAGGAGGGGATGCAGAATTGCAACTGGTTGCAGAACATTATCTCTCTGCATGGGAAAGTCTCAAATGATGACAAACCTTGACAATTCATTACAGTGCCTCCAACAAAAGCAATTGTGCACTGTTTAGTAGAAAGTATTTGGCAGGTATTGCATCGGCTGTACAATTTGCAGTTGGGCCTGGTCTAACTGACCAACTTTAATTTCAATTCAGTCAATTTACATAGGGACAAATGACAACACATGTAATCTCTAGGCACTTTACATAGACAATTTGATTAGATCATACAGTCAGAGTGGCTCAATGTATTCTATCCAAGGGAACCCAGCTGATTGCATTGAGTCATTAACCTGAAGGACACACTCCTCTTGGACAGGCATGTGAAGACAGCTAATGCAATCCACTTGAATTTTGCTACTGACTCTACAGCAATCTATCAGACTGAGCCTCCTTGCAAACCCAAACCCACCACCATCACCACTGACACTTGTACACTTGCAATATAACACAGTTGTAACTGATGACTTTTAAAAAATAAAAAATATTCAAAGCCAAATCACTTAGAGTTTCTCTAGTCAGGAAAAATGTCATACATGCCCAATAATAAAATACTATTGGAACAGAGGACTCATTTCAAGGCAAGACAAAAAGTTGGATTATTCAAAAGAGTTTGTTTAAAACCAGATCTGCAGATATAATCTGACGGAAGATGATTATGAATCTGTGAGTCACTAACCTTCAATGAGTGCCAAGAGAATGAGGTTGAAACCAATCGGTTGTAGCTGTTGATGCAAAGACAGTATTCATTTTTTTGTAATTTCTATGCTTAGACCTTTTCTTTTTTTTTGGGTGAGATGGTTGGGGGTTTTCCTGTCTATCCATCTCCTGTCCAGCCCTCATCTCTCAGATCAAGACACCAAGATACTTAAGCAATGACCTCTAACTTAGAGTAGCTGACTCTTATGCAGGTTCACTCTTGGCTGTGAGCTGCTCCACTGCATGACATTGAAAGTCAGTGGGTGAAAAGGCAGACCAAAACCAATAATATAAAAAAAATACAAAAATTAGGCCATGAGCTACCCAAATCAGACACAGTGACCTTCATGACTACACCTTAATATCCTGTTCACAAACAGGACAAAGCAAAGTGCAGCCCAGGCAGAGTCTAACCCACTCTGGTAACAACAGTACATTTTTGCAAAGAATATAAACAGAGTTTTTACCGCTCTTTTGTCTGCTAATTATTTCTCAAAGTGGCTCTTGTGAGGCGCTAAGCTTTTAAAGCTAAAAAGTACCCTCAATTGTTTGCTGAATCCTGTTTACTTTTATGTATGCATAACAACAAAGGTTTCTAATAAACTTGACCGAAAACAGGTTGGAAGGGGAGCTGGTTTCTGATAAACCTCATGTGCATTCTGGGAAACCACACCAATTGCATAGTCAACACCAGAGTGTGGCATTTGAGAAGTTGCTAATGTACAACTTTTGATAGACACCAAGGTTTTTTCTCAAAGTAATTTTAATGGCATATTTTTGCTTTTCTTTGGATTTTTAACAAAATTCTATATTCTATTTTTCCATTATAGACAAATAAATAAAAATAGACGAGACAATCATGTGAACCAAATTACATTTTTATAAGCTTCTGGTTTTTTTCTTATCTTTTTTGAAGTTATCTAGAGAATCCAAGAATAAAAGTGCAATCAAAATAATTGGATTACATACTTTAAATTTTGGATTAAATACTTTAATCATGTTTTTTATTGTCCTACAAAAGCCGAAGAGCGTTTTAATTTAGGGTGGGTGATTCCTATATATAGCCACAACAAGCACAATGATGCTGCCATGCACAAACATGAAATGCTATTTTTTCAGTTCCTCTGTGAAAACCCACTTCCTTTGCTGCATTTTACCCCATTTGGAAGCATCAGCTGCTCAGACAACAACTTTCTCAGTCAAGATGAATCAACCTAATTTCACTGTGGCGCCTTCTTACTTTTCTACTCCACAAGATCCTTCTCCTCCATCTTGGACCTCCAGAGTTCTCATCCCGGCTGTGGTGCTGTCCTTCTGCTTTATTCTGGGAGTTCCTGGAAACATAGCTGTGATTCTTCTCAAGCCTAACTGGCAGAAAATGTCCAGCCTGAGCCGACAGTTGATGTGCAATCTGGCCGTTTCTGACCTGCTCTGCCTGATGACTCTTCCACCTTGGATTTACAATTTAATCTACAGCTGGCCATTTGGGATGGGAATCTGTAAACTTTTAACAGGGCTTGTGTATTGCAGTGTTTATGGCAGCATGCTGACTGTGACCGCAGTTAGCGTCCAGCGCTATGTCGTGGTGGTCCACCGCAGGAACTGCAAACAGGTACCAGGAAGACTAATACTGGTTCTGCTTTGGCTGGTTGCTGTTCTCATCTCCATCCCCAGTTTGGTGGTTCGAAGGCTGGTAACGGATCAGAAAGTGACATATTGCCGACCAGAATACTCTTCTGATGCCCAAAGAGTAGCATTGCTACTGATAGAGGCCACAGTGGGGTTGGCTTCTATATCTTTAGTGGCATTTGCTTATGTTAGTCTCCAAAGAAGGGTTAGTCAAGGTGCCCTTTTTAAAAATCATCAAACAACCCAAATTGTCACCAGTATCATCGCCTGCTTTTTTGTCCTGTGGGTCCCGTATCAAGCCCTGAATCTGCTGGGCGTGGCAGCTATTTGTTTGAAGAATGACTTTCTGTTAAAATTTTGCAAAACAACATGGAATATTACTGGAGCACTAGCTTTTGTAAATAGTTGCATCAATCCACTTCTCTATGCATTTTGTATCATTTGCTTAAAAAAGCACCATGGACAACAGGACTCCATAAATCCTCAAACACCAGATATAAGTGCAAGTGCAACTTCTTAGCTTTAAACACACAAATGTCCTCCTGTCCTCTGTCAGCTTAAAACTCTTATGAAAAGCTAAGAACAATCTTAGATTGTATAATCATTCCAACTAAATACATAAAAGCTTTTGTTACGTTTTTACAACTATGACAGGCGTAACGATGAAATAAATATGTACATTGCAATATATAGTCTGCTGTATGTTTTTTATGCTGATATTTTTTACTACGGTACTTGCAATACATGAATTTGCTATTTAGTAAGTTAAAAGGGCAGAGAAGAAAATACATTTGAAATTGACTATATTCGGCAAACGCAACTTGTATCTGCTATTAAGCACCAAACAGAATCAGTGCTGCATTTTTCATATATGTTTTCATATATATCTGTCCGTTCTATGGTGTTATAACATATTTCGGTTTTGAGTTTTTCAGCTGAATTTTTTTTGACATTACATTTTTTCTGCTTTTTTTTTCTTGTCATTGATAGAACTGGAATTAAAGAACTGAAGTATATATAAAAAATAGGTGGATAAAAAAAATAAAAGCTTTGTTTTGTAATCAAGTAGCTTTTTTCAAATGCAAAGTGAAGGAAATTATTTTTATTTATTCTCAAAGTTAAATGTGGACATTTTTGTGTAATGCTCTCTTTTAATAAAACAAGTTTGTCTATGGTGTAAGAACTTTTGTCACTAAGTGTGTTAAATCAGTAGGGAGCCTATGTAAATATAGAAGCAATTCATTTATTGATTGATTGCTTCACCTACAGATAAAATTACAAAGTCCTTGACAAAACACAAAGAAAAAACACATAATAAAACACATCGCACTGACTTAAAACCTGTCTTTAGAAAAGTTTTTTTCCCATATAGAAACATTGTCCTTTCCCAGTTCTAGGTTACGTTTGGCCGATTAATGATAAGGAATATTTAAAAAATGGTATCGGAACCTGGGTAAAACAAGTATTTTTGCTAAGTTAACATGGCCCACTATTGGGTGAGGCAAGACCATCTCTTGAAATCCAGTGTATGACTTTCAAGGAGACAAGGGAAATTCTCTGAGAAGAAATGATTGGATAAAATTGTAAATAGGACCCTCAATATCTAAATTCCTCTGTTAAATATCTGAAAAGGAAAAAGGACCACATCTTTCTGGAGGTTGATAAAAACATATGAGTCACTAACCTGGCCTTATAGTTCAGTCCAAGCCCAGAGAGTAAGGGTTGGTTCCAGCTGGTAGGCTGCCAACCGACCTCTGGAACCAGCGGTTGTCACACAGAAGGTCCCAGACAATGACGTATTGGTTATTGTCCTCCAAACACAGATGGTCCTCCTAATTGTCAAATATTCTGGTGATTTGTTTACGTCAGGCCATACTATGTGCTTGTCCCAATTTTCACTTACCGATGGTGAGTCTGAAATAGTGTAAAAATTGCAAATCTTCTTTTCGAAATTAAGCTTGTATGATCGATGCACACAGCAACTTTTAAACAGAACGAGCACAGGGAGTAATGGGCTTTTGGCACAACCCTGTACCCTAGCCGGTACATGTGCATTTTTTTTTGTGGAGAGGGCAGGTCTTTTCAAAATTAGCGAAAAATCTTTCACTATACCTTTAATGAAGTGTAAGATAAAGTGGTGACTAATACTAGATAGATATAAGAACATAAGTGGTATGTCAGCAAAACTGGGGGACTCACTGAAATCAGTTAACATGTTGAAAAAGGCCAGAACAACAGCAAAATCCAGCAAAATCGTCAAAATCCAGCTAGAGGATTTGGAAGCTTTCACAAAACACATCAACTCTGTTGACCAACACCTCAAATTCACAAGAGAGGATGCCAAGGACAACAAACTACCATTTCTGGACTGTCTGGTGAGCATAGAAGGAGATGGAAGCCTAAACATTGAAGTGTATAGAAAACCTACTCACACAGACCAGTATCTTCTTTTTGACTCACACCACCCACTGGAACACAAACTCTCAGTCATCAGAACCTTACAACACCGGGCAGAACATGTCCCCACTAAAACAGATGGGAAGCACAAAGAACAAAAACACATCAAAGATGCTCTCCAAAACTGTGGATATCCAAAATGGGCTTTTATCAAATCAGCAAGTAAATCCAAAAGACACGCAACAGAAGACAGCGATGAGAAAATTAAACGCAAAAACATAACATTTGCATGTTTCCAAGCGATACAAGGCTTTGTCTATATAAGACTCAAACTCACTGCGGATCCAGACATTTGAAATGAGAAAGCTTCCTGGAGAGGTGGCGAAACGTCTTCAAATCTTGGAAACCAAGTCCAGTGGATATTTTTTGAATTTTTACGGAAGTACAAAGTCGCATAAAACGTTCTTTCTACTTAAAAGAAAGTAAATCAATGGGAGTGGAGGGGTTCTCTGTTGCATCTCTGCCCCATGGCTGATGTCTCTTTGCTGAGGGCTGGTGGTCTCTACCTCAGTTGGTGGGCAGAGTAGTGAAGCTAGGAGGAGATTTGGAGGTTGAGCAGGTGCAAGAGGGAGGGGGTTTGGGAGCCCAGGTCTAAGTAGTGGTCTGCCCCCAGTGCCTGGTGGTTCAAGAAGGGGAACAGGGTGCCTATTGGGGCCTGTAGGTGAGCTGGCTCCCTCGGAGAACATAATTCATCTGTTCTTTACTCCCCATCGCAGGATAGGGATTACAGGACTATCACAACCACATAAGTACAACCTTTTGGAGTGGATTATCAGGGGGTCTTCATCTTCTGGTGGTGGCCTATTACCCAATATTAATACCTTTTTTGTTTTATTTAAAGCTGCAGTCTGTTACATTGAGAAGAGAGTAGACTTCGACTGAAAATTTGAAGAAAAACAGAAAAACACTGCCCCACCCTCTCTGCTTCACTCAT